AGGCGCCCTGCCGGTGGCAGGAGCAGGGGTGGCGGTGGAGGGGACAGGGTGAAGGCTCTCGCTGCTCCTGCCTCTGAGTGAAGGTGGCACCTGGGGTGGGGGGCTCTCCTGGGAGCTGCCCCCATGCCTGCTGTGGGGAGGCAGATGAAGTGCCCATTCCACAGCGCTGTTGCCCCATTTCTCCTGGTGGGGCTGGAGCCGGCCATGTTGCCGCACAGACAAGCACAGCTGAATTACAGGTGCTCCAGCTGTGAGCCCTGAGGAGAGGCCGTCAGCTACAGCACCCCTGCCCACCTCTTCTGCAGCCCAGCTGGAGCAGGTTTGCCACGTTCAGCCAGGTTGCAAGACACCACTAACGAGCTGCCCCTCCAGAGGTCTCTAAAGGAGAAAAAGGGGGCTGGAGAGTCATGTATAGTTACAGCATCCCCCTACCTCGCCCAAGCAGTGGGTGTGCAGGCAGCGTGTCCCAGCTCCCTGTGTGCCGCTGCAGCACCCAGTCTCACCCTCTCCCAAGTAAGAGCTCGGGCTGGGAGCTGGTGGGCAGCAGACCTCAGAAGACACCTTCAGAGAGGAGACCTGCCCAGGTAGGTGGGCTGTGGGTGGCTCAAACACACCCATGCCGGGAGCGGGTCTGGCACTGGGAGCATGTAGCCATGGGTGGATGTGACCAGCTGTGGCCACATCTCTCTGTGGGTCCCTGTCCTGCCAGGCTCCAGGAGCAACAGAGATGGGAAACTGCTGGGTTGTTGCTGTCCTCTGTCCCATGCCTCAAGGGGCTGGGTGGTTTGGAGGACTCTGTCCCAGCCGGGTCGGAGGAGCTGGAGGGCTGCTCCAGCAGGCAAGAGATCAAACAGACTGGCAACATCGTGTGTTGTGTGCTGCGGTGCTGCATCGCTCCTGCCCTGCATGCCCGGCTTCCCTGTCCAGCCGCTCGCTGCCCCGCTCAGCGCAGGCCCTGTGTGCCAGGGGCTCGCTCGCTGCCTGCAAGGGGTCTTACGTGCGGGGGCTCTGCCTCTGCAGCGGCTCACAACGTTGAGCGTTGCCAGGACTGTCGTCTTGATTGCTTGTTTTCATTCTGGTGGTTTTGTGACCTGAACTCGAGTGCATTTCCCAGGTCCTCCAGGGCAGGGCACACCAACACTGGCATCAGCATGGTGGGGGGGGTCAACAAGGGGCAAACCCATGGGGCCGGGCTCACCACGCTGGTGCTGTGAGCACTCTGCAGCCAGGCATTTTGGCAAGTCCCATGCCCCCCATGCAGTCCAACAAGCTCTCAGGTCTGTAAGTAACCACAGGTTCTCACTTTTGGCTAACTACTGCATTTTGAT